CACAGTAAGCAGGATTCACAGAACTGCAGAATCACTAAGGTTGGAAGGGATCTCTGGAGATCATCTAGTCCAACACCCCTGCTCCAGGAGCAATAACCTTCCTTCTTAATTTTGTCACCTGCACTTCTGTTTATAAAACTAAAAGCTAATAGAAACACAAAATAAAGGCCAACTGTGAGTAACACCAGCTGGAATAACTGCTATGTGAGGAGCAGAAGAAGAGGAGGCTGGACATAGGGTTCCTTCTTTGCAATCTCACTTCTGTAAGAACAGAAGCAAGCTGTGGTCATGCAACATGCGCAAGGAGGTTCCAAAGGTCCTAAGGTCACTGCAGAGGGTCTTCCAGAGCACGTGCCACCCCCAGGGCCCACAGGATTCCCTGCGAAGGGAGAGCACAAAGCCAGCTTGGGATTCTGTGGGTGATCTTGGCAGTCTCAATGGATGCCAGTCCTACTGTCTTTCTAGCTACATTATATGTTTTTCAAGGTCCTCACAGATTTGTGATAGTAGTAGATAGAGTTTCTCAGTAGCTTACTTAGCTGGTGAGGGAAATCCTTACTACAGAGAACTGTCTGAATAAGACAGAGCTTTCCCCATTCTGAGGACTCTGTACCTCAGCTCACATAGGAGTTAAAAGTTCATTACATAGTCTCTTTTCTTCTTGGTACTTGTATTGTCCTTTTTACTATTTTTAACTGTGGAAACCTTCAGCAGAGAAGTTGGAGGCTTCCAGCTAATCTTTGAGTGCATATGGACGTGTCTCAGGCCAGCCTTTACCCTATGTAATCATTCTCCTTCGCTTTACCTTCATTCCTCATATGCTGAGCTGTGACCAGATCAAAGAGAAGGTGGTTTTGTTTCATTATGTTTTATCTCAAGGCAGCTCTGTCAGTCCTCGAGCACAGCTGGGTGTTTTATGGCACAGCAAGGCCTCCTTTCAAGCTATATTGTAGTTGCAGTGGTAAAACTTTGCAACTTTCTTTACATACGTATCGTGGCTAGTGACCTCCTTTTCCATTCTATCAGGTAATCCTGAATTGCTAGAGGTCAAAAGTGAAGATATGGAAAACAGTAGCACAGAACAAAAAGGTATTATGGAAATAGTTATCCTTGAACCTCAAAGGAAAGTGTGCTCAGGGAAACAGAAAGGACCTTTTCTAAAAAACTACATTCATTCTTTCCCAATTTCATCTCCAAATTGGATCACTGCCTGGGAACATAATTTTTCTTCCTCAGCATTTTTGTTGCTTTAGCTAGGTAGGATAAAATCACACATGTATCAGGTTGGTAGGGAATTCAGAAACAAGAAACCTGGATCTAATCTCCCTAAGTCTTTTTCACTTTAATCTCTCATTAACCAGCAGCTACCTCAGTGTTTTCTTCTCGAATATGGGAATTGTGTTTGCCTGTGTCAGAAGAGCACAGTTAAGTCTCAAGTAGTATATTGGTAAAGTTCTCTGAACACTTAAAGCACATTTTTTCATTTAATAAAAAAGCTGTTTCCTAGAAGTGGCTCAATGTTTGTTGAGGATTTGTGGCCTAACTGCTTTGTAAATATCTATTGTTTTGCTTGACTATTAACCCTTCTTTTTGGGCACTGGTAAAGAACAAAGATCTCTGCCTTCAGAGTCCCAGTAGGCAAAGGCAGCACAGAGCTGTTTCAAGGGATAAGCTAAAACTTGAGAGTCACTATCTAGTAGCTGTAAAGGAAACTGTTTCAGTCATCAGGGAGTTATTACCTATGTAACAGGCCTGACCATCCACTGAACTAAGCGGTTGTCTGCTGCTACTGAGCTCTAAAATGAAGTACTGAGTGCAGAGTGGATAGATGCATTTAACAGTCTGTGTTTCTTCTAACTTGTAGAATTCCTATTGTATTTGTTAGACATTAAAACCTTGTGGAAGCATCACTTATAGCCTATAGATGATTTCCAAACCTCTTTTGCTTGTCTACTACTTGCAACGGAGGCAGCAGTTTGAAAATCTGTCCCATCTGCTGCCAGCCCTGAACCAAGGGTCCAAACCAGTCCCAAACTAGTCCCATAGTTGAAGTGCATCCCTAAATAGCTATAGTGCTGAAAAGTGTTTTCTGAGGTTAACAGTAACCCAAGCTCTATCATCAAGCCTCTTTTTAGACTATGAATGCAAACTCTCAAAACAAAGTTGAAAGAAGAAATGGTGATTGATACAACTCCCAAGTTTGACCTCTTAATTACTTTTAACTGCAATGCAAGATGAAACTAGCAGTACTTTGATTATTTTCATTTACAGTATTAGTGAATTAAAGATCCTGAATATTTTTAATATCTCTTTATTCCAAGAGAATAAGCAGTAGTGAGCAGCAGGGTCCTTCACAAGGCTGCAGAGTCAGGAGGAAAGTTGTAGTTAAGGATCTGCAGCAAGGTGTCCGCAGGGACCATGGCAGACCCAGATTCTCTCAAGGCTGCCACTCTGGTTAGTTTGTCCCATAAAAACTTCTCTCTGCTTAGAAGATCTGGGGAGATTGTCTTAAATGAAGAAAACTATTTTGGTGGCTGCAGACCACAGTAGTCTGACCACTGCACGACACATGGGTTACCTGCCCGCTCGCACGGGCTCGTTGCAAGCTAAGCAGGGCCTGTGCAACACTCGGCTCTAAATCCAAAGTCAGGTTTAACTTTGGGCCCCATCTCTAATGGTAAATGAATACTGGAGCAAAAATAACTAACACTCGCATGCAATTTTAATTAATGGCTGGCAAAAAGTTTTGAAAAGGACAGAGCTGCTTACAAACAGCCATTCTTCCCAAACTACAAGTGAACAATTTAATTCTCCTCTGATTCTTTTGATTCCTTGTTACTTCTCTTTATAACTACTGCCAGGTGCCAGCGGGGGCACAAAATAGAAATAGTAAAGTGCAAAAGATGGCTATTTTTGATCCTTCAAGCACAACTGGAAACTGAATGTAGTTTTAAGGGGAAAAAAAAAATCACAAAAGCAGAAGTTCTTTCGAGCCTTGGCCCCAAATGTGTAGGTTTAATGGATCTAGTTAATTTAGATAACATTTTTTTATAGATGTTTTTCATAGATTTTTTCAATTGCAGCAAATCTCTAAGCATTTCTTTTCACTTCTCACGTCTGTAAGTAAGTCTTCCTTATTTAGTATCGACAGTTTCCGTTATTTTGCTCTTCTGCTGTAAATTAATGGTATGAGGTTTGAGCAAAAGTGAAAGATCTGCCTCTGAATTATTTCTCAGAGGGTTATTTTCATGATTTCTTTGTTTAGTGGAGAACTAAAAAGATAGGTTTCTAAGGAAAGCTAGGCAAAAATTTAGGCTCTAGGAATAATCCTTATGTATCTGACCCATGATCGGCTTGGATAGAGCAGAACTGATGCATGGCGGGGCTGCTGAAAATGAGAAATACCCTTCAATTCTTGCTGACATTATGAAAAAGTTATTAAGATGATGAAGGGACTGGGGCATCCCTCACATGAGAAAGCTGAGAGCTGAGCCTGTTCTCCCTGGAGAAGGGAAGACTGAAGGGGAATATTAGCAATATGTATAAGTATCTGAAGGGGAGTATAGAGCGGATGGGGTCGGACTCTTAAGAGTGGGGCCCGGTGATAGGACAAGAGGCATCAGGCCCAAACTGAAGCACAGGAACATAAGGCAAAATGTCTCTGCCATGAGGGTGACTGGGCACAGGATGTCCAGAGCAGCCTTCATTGGAGGTGCTCAAAAGCTGCTTGGACACAATCCTGGACAACATCCTCCAGATGACCCAGCTTGAGCAGGGAGGTTGGGCTCACAGGTCCACAGGTCCCATCCCACCTCTGTGATTCTATAAAAAGATCAGATTGCTCTGCTGACAAATAGTGTTAAGATGAAAAATAAGCTTTGTTCTTTATTTCAGGATACCAGAAATGTAGCTTTACTCAGCTATCTAAAAGCCATTTTTTAAGCAAGTCCCCAAATAAGGATTAGTTGCCTTTACCAAAGGAAAGCTTTGAAGATCCTATTGGTATCAGATCTTGCTTCAGCAATAAGACAGCCAAGACTGAAATATAAAATGACATGGGCAATTTATAATGACAAACGCAAGGAATTTTTTTTAAAACCCATTTTGAATTATCATTTCTTCTATTGGTTTAGATAAAATCTTCAGCTCGGGTCTAATACGGGATGTTTCATTTAATTGAATAGAAAATAAATTGTTGGGGGAAAAAATAAAAATACATGCAATTCCTATTAAACTCAAATTTCTAACAGTATCTGTTATAAATCAGTATTTTTTGCAATGTTATATCTTTGTTTCTGAAAATAATTTGATTTTTGTGATATTTTTCAAATGGGAAGGGAAGTAGAATTCTAAAATAATAGCTATCTATTTAAAAAGAATGAGTTGTTTAACTTAAATAGCTTTGACAAGCGTATTTTCTATGGAATTGGGGCAACTAATTGAAAAGTAGGAGCCAGCTCTGGTTTTGGCTGTCGGTGCGTGTGACTGGAGTCCTGAGCTGATGCGTTTTTACAGCTCAAGGTCACAAATCCTCTAGTGGTTTCTCTGATGACCTGGGCATGGTAGGGCAGGGACATATCTGTCCCACCTCCTCACACTCCTGTAATAACTACAGACACATAATTACAGGAAGGAGGGGAACTGTCCACTGATGGAATGAGTCGCGCAAAGCCAGTTCTGAAGAAAAAGTTAATATTAAGGTATTATAAACTATTAATTCAGGCAATGAAGTTCTTTCCTGATGCCCTGGAACTTAGGCAAGTTGTTTAAATTGAGTTGTGGTACAGGAAAGGATAAAACAAATCATGCCAAAGAGCATCATACATGAATGCTTTTAAAAATTTAATACTTATTAAAAATTATTATTTTTTGGTGTTTACTCTAAAAGGAAAACAATGTTTCCTTTTTTGTATGTATGTAATATGTTTCCTTATTTTTCTTAATTTATATATGAGTGCTCAATCACACGGTTATTTTAATCCTGCTTTAATATTTTACAGGAAACTTCAAAAGATGGTGCATGACATCAAGAAAAATGAAACTGGGATAATAAACAAGTTCAAAAAGTAAGTTTGAAATATCAGTACTAGCTTTTTGTTTTTTTAAAGCTCAGATGATTAACATAACATATAACACTAAAGAGAGAACCATGTCATTCGAGAGGGATGTACTTCAATGTATGTTAAGAGATGCTTTTGTACTCATTCTCTGGCAACGCTCATCGTCTGCTGTTTGAGTGTTTGCCGTTTTCCTCAAGTTGCTCTTTAGACTACCTGCTGCAATTAAAAATTAATTTGAACTCCACCTTGAACCAACTGGTCAGGCATCATAGTCCCATAAAAATGCTAAATTCTCCAGTGTTTGAGTCCCATAAAACAAAAGCCCTCTTTACCTAACACCCTTATTCCTGTAAGTGCAAAACAGTATAAATATTGATGTCACAAGCATGAGTATTGCAAAATATTCATAATATACTTTTAAACATGGAGTGAAGCTTCAGTAATTCTACATCCTTCTCAAATGACAACACCATTTGCTGTGTCTAGTCAACTGCCTATTGAAAGTGATTAGCTATTTATTGCACTGCCTTTTTTTTTAATGAAATAGCTCATTTGCATTGAATTTCCATTTGGATGCAATTCCCTCATTCAGACCTCTTTCTTTGCGTAGGGGTTATTGACTACTGAAGTACTAAGTATTCTTGCAAGTTAATTAATAGACGACACGTACGATGATTTCAGAAAGGACACATTGAGGACTCTACGAATAGAGCCCTCATACATAAAAGATGTTTCCCTTTTTTAAAAGAAAATGTTCTTAAACAAGTGCGTTGTGTTCTTGTGTGTGTTTTTGTTTTTCCTCTGTTTTGGCTTTCTACTTCAGAGTAATTTAAGTATAGTTAATGCTATTGGATGCAGTGCAAACACCTCCAAGGGGAAACCAGATGGCAGAAACAGAGGCATTTCAAGCTTGTAGCTTGAGGCAGCAAATTGTCTGCCTGGAAAAAACAAATCAACAAAAAAGCAAGCTTATAAAAACTTCTCTAATGGGTGACTGCAGCATAAAGCTCACATTCTACCCCCCCCCCAGCTAGGAAGTCAGAGCACGAATTATGAGATGAAGGGTTAAAAAAGAAGTCAATCTTTACCCAAAACATAATGAGTCTTTACAATAAAATCAGGAGTTGGCAACCTAAAAGAGTAAGCTAAATAGTATGGTTGGAGGGTCTCTATGTTACAGCCTGAAGATTTTTGTTAGGACAATAGTATTTCATTGAAGTAAAACCAAGAAAAATCAACTATAAGCCGCTCAATACTACAGCACATTGTAAAAAAAATATACAAAAGGATAGCAAGAATATTAAAAACAACTGCAAATTTATTTCATGCAATCACCAATTTCTTTTTTGTCATTGATGATGAAATCATCAATTTCATGCAATTCCAAAGCTATAACAACCTATTCCACTGAGTCATAAGAAGACAGCTCCAAAAGTGTCTCTGCCAGCTAGCATCCTTGTGTCTGGAATTCTGACAAGCTCTTGGACAAAGCTCAATTACTTCATCTTTTAATCACAAGTGTGATGATCTAATGTACTCGGGAGTAATGTACACTATAAATACTCCACTCAGTGAGGATGTTGACATAATTTTTATAAATCCTATCAAGTAAAAATCTTTTTTTAAGAAGAGGATGGGTTCTTGAAAATGAAGGTATTTGGGGCACATCTTAGAAGCTGGGGGAAGGAGCAAAAACACAGAATTAAAGTATTGCAAGTACAGAAATGTGCTTGCTTTGCTGGGGACATTTTGCTTAAAAGCAAGTGTTGCTAGAGCAGAAAAAAAACAGATTTCTGCTGCAGTTCATTACAGCTTCCCCATGTAGTTTGGGAAAACGCGTATATGTGATATTGATTTTAAGCATAACTTTAAGAATACTTGTAATTCCTATAGGACTTGTTAGTTGGCCAAAGTTAAGTACATGCCTCAAAAAGCTTTGCTGGATCAACTGCAGCAGGCCGTACGGGGAAGTGTCAGGATGTATGTTTTTGTTTTCTTTAAGAAACTTATTCTCCTAAAGTTATTTTGTGTTTGGGTGATGCGCTGTGTTCCTGTGTGAGCAGCATGAGGCCTCATTCCATGAAATGCCTCAAATATTAATGGGTTAATTAGCATTTATCAAAGCTAATGATGTAGTAAGATGTATTACATTGCTTCTAAAAATCTGTAAATATGTTCCATAGATTTTATGGATGAATCCTTTAGAAACGAAATTTCCCTGAGACTTGAAAATCTCCAGATAATACTTATTTTCTATTAAATTAAAAGAAAATAAGTCATGATCATGGTGGGTGTTTTTGTTTGTTTGTTTTTGTTTTGTTTTGTTTCCCTCACCTCTGTCCTCACCCCGCCACAAGCCATTAGAGCTAAAACAGAGATGTTTCACAAGCTTTAAGTCCAAGACTGAGTACTAATATTAGAATATTTTACATGGAAATTGCATTTGTTTATAATTTTAAATAACTGAGTTAAAAGCTAAGTTAAATCATTCTTTCTTCTACTTAAATATGTATCCTGAGTTGGGATTTGATCTCTATCCTCTGTCATTGGTGCCCGGGGCACAGGAATGAGTCGGTTGTCACACTGCAAGCATCTGTGTGTATATCTGAAATACCAGGAAACAGCCCCTTGGCATTGGGAGCAGGTTCTGGGGCTTGCACTGCAGTTTGCACAGCAGGTAGAATTCCAGCTCTGCAGAGTGAAAAGCAAAGCTGCAACTGAATTCAAAAAAATCCTGAATTTCAGTTCTGGCGTCAATATGTCATGCCAGTACAGTGAGATCTTTAGGTGGATTTGAATTTTAGCATAAGTGTTTGAAGGGACTTGAGCAAATGTAGATGTGCCCTGGAACAGTTTCAGCAGCTCTGTGACAGAAACATGATTTCTTTTCTTCTATTGATATTCAGGTTCCAAAATGAGCAAGTGGCCTTAATTTGCAAAACTGGCAAAGATACTTGGGATCGGTATGCTACCTTGGAGCACCACAGGCTGCGTGGACACGGAGCTCTGCTCTGTGCTTCGTGTGCTGCTTGCTGTCGCCTATTTACACTTTCCATCAGGGCCACTGCCAGGATTTACAGGGCCCGGGACTAAGTGTTGAAATCTTTGGCTTAGTGCTTTGGATCTGTGGGCTGCGACGCCTGTTCCACCCTGCAGCCTGGGGGCCTCTTGCCTCATCCCACCCTTTTCCAACAGAGCCGGTCCCCGCTGTCTCTGAGCATTTCAGGACACGTGTTGCAAAGAACATGGATGGATTTTGGTCCACCCTCTCGACACTACTGTGTGCGGCTGCTCTCTGTCCTGGCAGTGGCCCTGCGTTTTTCTTTCTAACCTGCCAGTGCTAACCTGGGCTGAACACAGCAGCAGCGCTGTTAATGCTTGGTAATTTACTGTCAACTGCACTGCATTTACACCAAACAGCATTCCTGCTGCAGGAAGCAAAAGACTAGAAAGATGCAGTTCTCCTTCGTTAGTGTTGTTACTAATGAACAAAGCGGGATAAATATTTTGTAACAACATGCCTGATTTTTTGTTTGCGCTTTAGCAGTGTTTTTACTGGGCGCTGCTTCATTCATGCATGTTCATATTCTGTGAATATCTGAGCAATCGAATTCTATGAAATCAATTCAAAAGTAGCCAAAGCATTTTTCAAAACAGGCTTGAAACAAACTTGTATATTGATGCATGAGTGTCGGAGAGCAGCCACCCTGGGTTGCCCTCTGATCCCAACAGCAGCAGCTCAGCAGGGTGCTTGAGACTTAAACATTGTCAAATCTGATCTGTAAAACAAAATTTGTAGACTTCACTGTTGCTCAGAGAATCACAAGAAAATATTTTTAATTCTCTGTGAACAATATTCTTTGTAAATAATTTGGTCATTTCTGCAAACAAATAACATCAAGAAACTTCATGGTTGAAGAATGACTGAAGTCATCAGTCAGGTGGGCAAAGGCTCAGATCTATGGTGAGGTCCCATCAGTGCTACAGAGAAACAGGTTATTTTAGAGATTCATTTTAATATAAATTGGTATTTTTTTATTACCTCAAAAAGCAAAACTTTCTTCAGATAATTCTGTTCTATAATGTCACCATTTGGTTTGACTTTACACACAAATATGTTCCGTTTTCATAAGGTAGTGTTAGAACACTAATGAAGTAATATCAACAGACTGTAATTCTAAAAAAGCTATTGAAATAGAATTTGCCAAAAAGGCTCTAACAGCATAAAATAATAGCAGATAGAAACAGAATCTGGTTTTGAGAGACCTGTTACACATCTAGACATCAATCAGAAACTAAAGAGCATGCAAAGCAACAGTTATAAAACAGAACCAGAGTACCATACCCTTTTTTTCTTGCTACAGACTTGGGAAAACAGATTATCTTATTAGAGAGATGTATATTTATCTCTGACACTGATGTCATCAGATTTGGTATTGAAAGTGAAAAAGAGAGGGGCAAGGAAGCTGTTCTTCCAAAATATGATCTGAGCAAAAATATCTCAGATTGGAGTCTAATTTCCTGTGTTTCCAGCTTTTCGGAGTATTCTCTTGCAGCTCTCTGCTAAGCATCTGCCCTGATAATCTGTATTTGTTCAGCTGCAGATATCTTTTGTCATCAGTGTTTTATGTCGCTGATATTTCCTTTTAGCTATTATTAAAATATTGGATTGTAAGTTTAATAATTATTGTTTACAGGCTGAAAAAAAAACCACCACCAAGTGTACCAAAAAGAGACTATGCTTCAGGTAAGACTGGATTAATAGAAATTTAAACTGTATATCTGTGTGTATTTGATGCCTATATGCCTACAGTAAGCTCAGCTTTGCATTCCCTCACAATTTCCTTTTGGCAAATGTGCTATTGCCACACTTATGAAACATGAAAGCAAGACAACCCATGAGCAAACAGCAACTGCTCCTTCAGAATCAATGTTACCAGAATCAATATTTACCCTCTCCCCTTGTCCCTTTGTGACAAACTGTGAAGTGAAAGTGAAAATAAATATGGGAAAGAGTGAATAAATTAATTGGTGTACTGTAGAAGTCAGATTCACTTGACATAGTTAATTGACATAATGAATTTTCTTAAAGTACCAGTAGAAGTATATACAGCAGTGCCCACACACTTGCTCATGTCCATGTGCATGTTTTGTTAAGGAAACAATACAAAATACTGCAGTAGAAGAGGGCACTTTCTGGAGTTATCAGCCAACCATGGTTATTGCTGCTGCTCTTCATTAGCCTCCTACCCTGGAACCTCAGACAAAGGGGGAAAAAAAAGAACTGAGGATCCTGAATTTCAAAACTAGCTTCTTTACATAGAAATTGTTACCCATATTTAAAACTGAGATGCGTTAGCACGACACACTCTACTGTCCAGACCAGATACAATTTACCATTTTATGCAGCTTTTACAAGCCCTCTATATTGGTTTATGAGAAACAAATAAGCAGGAGAGTTTATTCTGTCAAAAATAGTTGTGTTGTTCTTCTGTTGAAGACAATGTCACTATTTTATTTAACTGAATATGATAGAATTTCTTGAATCTGTACTTAAAATACATATTTATGCTATTTCATTTCCTGAAGTAACTCTATTGTTTGGTTTAGAACATGCAGGCAATGAAGAGGAACAATGGTCAGATGATTTTGTAAGTATATTTTTGGGAAGTAGTAGGAAGTTACTGTAGCAACAAGTTCAGCACAAATAATAATAATGAATGTTTATTTTTGATTTGCTGAATTGTGGTTGAACTTATAGCCCTGAAATTGTATCTTGTTTGTGACATCAACTTTATTTACAAGCAGCCACTGATTTTTAGGAACTTCATTTTTTTGCATTCACCAGGAGCAGCCCTGTCAACTGCAGCCATGAGTGTTGAGCCTTTTAGGCAAGTAAAGAAGTGGCATCAATTTGAGGGACTTCTTAAACTGAACAGTAATTTCAGAAATGAGGAAGTTCTGTTTGGGGAAGAAAAAGACTTATTTTGTTGTTTTTTGTTTTTTTTTTTTTTATTTTTTTTTTAATATAATGAAAAACCTGTGGTCAGATTCTAGACAACTTTATGAGCTGCCTTCCAGAGTTAATTAATTGCCACGCTGTACAACTGATTTCCTTCAGGAGTTAGGTCTCTAATAGGAAAGGAGGAAGTGGTGGGACATATAAAGAGTTTTGGTTGGAGCAAGGAAGGATGTGGCCTGTTAAGGAACTCAAGCTGTTGGTCCCTAAGCCGAAGACACAGCCCTTGGTAATGATGAAGACTTCATGGGGGCACTGAGGAGAAGGGGCCAGGTAAGGACCTGGAGCAGAATTGGAGAGAGGCCGAATTCCTACCTGTTTGGAGAGGGAACACTGAAGAGGAGGGTGATTTGTCTTTTCTGTGTATTTTTTAGTTTTGTTAATTGTCCTCCTGAGAGGATATTCAAATGTCTTCATGTTATGAAGCCATAAGTGTGTTATGAAGTGAGAAATAGGAAATTCTGTGTCTCTAGGACAGCGATTATGAAAATCCAGATGACCACTCTGACTCTGAGATGTACATGGTCCCCAGCGAAGAGGCTGCTGATGACAGCTACGAACCGCCTCCAAGCGAGCAGGAGAAAAAGAAGATTCCCTCGGCATTCCCTATCTCTCGGGGCGAATACGCAGGTAGATACGGAGCAGTCAGTGACATCAGCCTGATAACTGCTTATTTGTCAGCGCCAAAAGAGAAATGGCCTCAAGTGGACTAACCTGTCCCTTTCTCCACAGTCTGCTTTTAATTCTGACAATCGGGTCCTCAGCTTTCTGGGGTATGGTTTGCTACTATAGCATAAAACAAGTTAGCATTGCTGCCAGCAATGCCTAGAGTTTTCATGTAATTTTAAGGGACTATTGGCTATAGAATAGCTGCTGAAGTGCTCTAGTGCCATACACGCACTCACAGAAGTTTACAAACACGTTACCTACCTGTCTTTTGAATAGGTGAAGAGTTTTTAAAATAACACCTGCATAATTTCCATTTCAATTCCACATTTTATGCCACAACTGTTACTTTTCCCCGTGACAGATATATTCTCTTTCACTTCCAGTTAGCAGAGGCTGCGCTGGCACCGCGCATGCCAGCACCATCTGGCCCCATCTCCTTCCAGAGGAGCTAAGAAACTGTTGTTCATGCAAGTCAAGGGTCCAGGTGGCCTCTGCAGCCTGATAAACAGGACTGGGTTGTTACCCTGAGTGATGACATGGGACTAGTTTGCAGATACGTCTCAAAATCTGGACCTGAAGGCACTTAGGTCTGCTTTTTGATTTAAGTTGCTGCCAGAGTAATTTGCTTGCATAAGTAGAAGAGTGTCCAGAGGCTAATAAGTAATTTTTACCAAAATTGTTTTGTTCTTCATTGAAAGACAATCGCACTAGTCACCAGCAGCCTCCTCCCATCAACAAACCTCTCCCAACCATGCCCAGTCCTGCCGCGTCCAGACCAAAGAAGCCATCCAAGCCAGCGCTGCCAGTGCAGTCTACTGCTCCAAAACCAAAAATACCACCAAAGCCGAAGGAGTGCCACGATGATGAGGTAACATTCATGGATAGATAGACTTGTTTCAATGGTTTAAATGAATGGTGGCCCTGAAGAAATCATGAGGTAGAGCAGACAGCAGTTCCACGTGCTGGCTTCCATACCAGCCTATCTGTCCACAGCTCCAATCATTTCTTGGCTCACAAGCAATAAGCTGCAAGTACCAGGGTAATTCCTAGTTGATATTTGCTTGCTTCAAGTGTCTGTGGAAGTCATTTGGAGCACAGAATAATTCCTGCTCATATCCATAGCAAGCTGCAGGCCATAGAGACCTTTACTCTTACAGCACAAATGAAGGGAAAGGAGGGCCTCTATCCACCAGGCTGTAACTGGGGTTATTTAGTGAAGGGCTTTCAGTTTCAGAGAATCCCATCCACATGGTGTGATAAGTGTCTGAGATAGCAGGCCCTGTGACAGGGCAGCTGTCATGAGCTGCTGCTCGCGCTTCGTTCCCAGCCCTTGTTTGAGGTGAGGCAGACTTAACCAGTTGACTCCTGTCCTATGTTCCTCACAGGACAACTACATTGTGCCGGTGGACGACGACGACAACTACATCGAACCCACGGAAAGCACCACGTCACCGCCTACGAGGCGTGAGTTTTAATCATATAAGCTGATAACTGTTTATTATAGTGCTAAAAATAGGTGGAATTGATGCCTATTTGTAGGGTTCAAAGAGAGGAAGTGCAGCTGCTGAAGGGAATACAGCCTGCAAGGGAGTTGCCTCTCTGTCCGTGACAGGACAGACCGAATTATCTTTCAGAGCCATGTTTAATTCCTACCTCTCTCATTCAGCTATTTTAAAGTTCAGCCCAGGTTCACCCAGGATATTTTTCATGGCGTGAGACCTTTCTCATTCGTGAGCGCTGCAGAAATATAATTCTGTTTTCTGAGCCTTTTTAGGCTTTCCTAAAGCCTAATAGTAAATAGAAAAATAGAGTATTTTTTTAATATCACTCCAAAGTGTATTTAGCTGGAGAATGAAAATACAGTCCTAGAGTGAAAAATGGAGAAGTGTATGTAGCTCTGCTCTCTGACATTACTGACAGCATTGGATCTAGTCAGCAAGGCAAGAACACTGTGATGGTTTTACTTCTAAAACAAGAGCTTTTGCTCTGCCTTAGTTGACTTCTCAAGGTCACCCAAGGAGTAGGCTCTCACTAGGATCTTAATAAATGTTACTTTAAAAAAAATGCTCTTATGTAAACATACCCATGGATGGATGAGTGTACACACATATCCATATGTACACATATCTCTTTCTAGCTCCTGTGAACAGATTTGTGAAGCCAACAACGAAGTCAACTTTCCCCACCTCTGCAAAGCCTTCTCTTCCTTCTGACACACAAGGTAGGTGGATTTTGTATTGCTGCTAAAATAACATAGTCCAACAATGAATGGTATTGAATTACACTCTATGCATTCAAAATAGAGAGCATATGACATCCTTCTGCAAAATAAAGTATGCTCCCCGAGGTATTTTTGTTTTGTAGCAGGTTTTTCGCTGAGCTTTAACAGTAAATCTGTTTTAATAATGAATAAATCTGGAACAAGCCATTTGCCCCAAACTACGTTATTTTTCATCTTCTGCTCTAGAAAAAGAACTCAAGTGGATCAATATAACTAAAATAATTACAAGAGCCAGTATGTTGTTAATCTCCTTACCCTGTAGGAACCAACACTCGGTATTTTAAAATCACATCAAGTTTCAGTCTTTATGAAATTTTGTATAAAACTGCTGTTTTGCACACCCAGCATAACAGCGTTCCGGTTTGTAAGTTCTTTAAGAAGCAGTTATTTGGGAAAAGAAACAAAAGCTTTTGAAAGTGCAGATCTAATTGCTTAATCTTTTAGCTGCTCTATTTCCTCATCATGGTACTAGCTTCTTGGCAAGTAACCTTTGCAAACCGGTAACTCGGTTCTTCAACAGGCTGTGCTTATTCACTAGTGAGGTGTTTGACTTTCAAGTCATAAACTAAAACGTTTTTTTTCTCATTGACTTAGTTTTGTCATATGCTTTTAAGACATTTTAATACCCTTTCTATCTTGTGTAAATCAGATTTTGACCAACAACCCTCCCTTGACAGAATTGGCACCAAAAAAAAAGTAAAACGCCTCCCCCTAGTGGGTGCCTAAGCCCTTCTCAGCACAGCAAACACAACAAAGCCCGACCTAAAATTTATTGTAGTTCAGTTTTCATTGAGGAAAATAGACATAGATGAGGATGCTAGTGATTTTTGGCTTTTAACATCCATTAATTAAAATATATGTGTGAGATGGAGCTCAAGGATGGACACTAGCAAGGCAAAAGAGTTGATTTGGATTTGATTCCCTTAATGGGGTGGGAGGAGTTCCTATTGAAAGAATATGGGTGCAGCTCCCTTGCAGTTTAGGGTCTGTGAAATTTCACCAGCTGGGCAGAATTGAGCTTTAGGGGCCCTCTCTAAATTATTTTTCCAGAAGTAAAAGGACAATTGATATAAAATCAAACTAGTTTCCCTGCTAAGGAACCCCATGCTGCATTTTGTTATCCAACGCTTTTTTTTTTTCTTCTCTCCCTATCCTATAGAAGTCTATGAGGTTCCTGAAGAAGAGGTAAGGCCACTATGCCTTTTATGGCTCATGCTCCTCTCTGTCTATGAGGAAAAATATAAATGTGATTGGATAGGACGAGGGGAAAAAGATTACCAAAACTTCCAAGGGGGAAAACGAGGAAAAATCTCTGCACCTAGAATTTAATGGCAGAACAGAATAAACGGGGAAGGTTTGGCTTTTCCTAGTCCTGTGTAATAGTGGTCAGTCTGGGAAGCAGCAGCCTAAGTGAGAAGCACAAGAGCAGCCAAAGGAATGATGACACTTCTGACACAGTCATTTTCCTCCTGCTTGCACTGGTGACATGACACATGGTCTAGCAATGCCCTAAGAATGTCCCATTTTTGTGTTCAGGTGTAGACTTCTACAGCTCTGCCTAGTAATCTGCACCAAGATACAGGATAGGCTGAAAGTCAGCTCTAGTAAACCTGAGTTACTATGTTGACAAAAATGTGGTCATATGGATGTATTTTATGAAATGTTAGGATAACCAAATAATTTGGTGTGCTTTCTCTTAAAGGAAAAACCATCACCATCACCAGTAAACAGGTAATCCATTGCTATGAATATTTGTGTATTACTTGAAATGCATATTGGCATTACTTGAAATTTGTCAGGAAAACATTCTCATCTATAATAATACAATTCAAAATAATGTAATTCATTTCTCTGTTAATTTTACTAAAACCAGAGTCATACATATGTATATATTTATCTCTCTTAAAGATATTTTTAGGATTTTGGAGGGGATGGGGAGATTTTTTTAACCATTATTTTTTAATAAAATTTTCCTTTCTGAATTCTTGTTTTGTTTCTAGGTTCACTAAGCCACTTCCTTCTACACCCACTCAGAATGCAGAGCACTCCCACATGCTCAACATGTCTCCAAAGCTGGATACTTCCAGGTGAATCAAAAGCAGCTCATGTCAATAACTAACAAGAACGGGGACAAACCCCTCTCTTTACTGTGCGCCCTTCAGACCACGAATGTTGTCAGGACACGTGAACAGAACAAGCTGGAGATGTTGGGACAAGTTTAAAATGAAAGTTTTGGCTTCCTTGTCAATTTCCGTACTTGATTTAGTATGTTATGTAGTATAATTAGTATTATTAGTATTAAAACCTCTCTGCAAGCCAATCTCAAGTCCTCTTATTGGCCTCTGTATTCCCTGCGAACATCCCTTGGCCCTTGCAGATGAGGTAGAGGAGAGCTGGCAAAGAAGCTGGACATGGCTGGTATAAATTGGTGGTATAAATTAACAAGTTATATTCCAACTCTCTGGAGGAAAAGAGGCAAAGGAAACTGGAGAGTGCAGCTTGTTTCACAGCCGCCCAGGAGTGTGGCTGCTTGGTAATCTCCAGGCATCACCGTGCAAAATACTCCACGTGCCCAGGAGGAGCAGGCGGCTCCGTAAGGCTGCGTCGCGAGGGGCGTCCAGGGAGCCCTGGGCAGTCCCGGGACAGCCGAGGTCCGGGCCAGAGGCTCCTCAACGAGAGCCCCGCGCTGCGGGCAAGGAGTGGTCCCAAGCCTATGCCACAGCTACTGCAGACCTCGTCTGCTCGAGATGGTGAAATACATATTTGAGCCAATAATAATAATAAAAAAAACCCTCAGTTTAACCTATTCTGTTTATTTTCCAGAAATATTGTGCCTCTTCCCAGAAATCGTCTCCATCCAAAAGCAGTGAGTAACTAATGTGCCACTCTAGGAAAACCTGCCAAGCTTTTCCAATATCTGTGTTATAGCTAGATGTTTTCTATTATCTGGATTGGATAACAGGAACAAAGGACTACTTTGATTTTCAGGTTGATCTAACATTGAAATAGTGCTCTCTAATCTTTTGGGCCAAAGAAACATACTTAACATCTGTATGAAAACAAAACATTTCCAGAGTTCTATGAAAAAAATGAAATGGTTTAAGCAATAAGTCTAAAAACTGCTTGTACTAAAAAAAGCCAATGCCAATCCAAGAACCAGTAGCAATGCATGATCTTGCCCATCCTGAAGCATCGTCTTTCAGCCTCATTCGTATTTGGAGAATGAAGGATTCATTTTTAATTTATTTTTAATTTATTTGGATAATGAAGGATTAATTTTTAATTTTTATATATATCTTTTTTTAAATGCAAAATGCATCTTCCTATGACATCTCACACTGAGTAGTCTGAGTAAACAATACCACTTGAAAGTGCAGTCCACAAAGCAGTAATTATGAGTTTTGGATTTCCTATGGCTGTGCTAATCATCCTTTTTATCTCTGTCCTTGTCCTCAGTCTGTCCCCCTCGATATGCAAGAGCAAAGGTTTTTATGAAGCAAACTACTGGGAAATGCACCTAACTGAGCAGCAAATGAGCAAAAGCAAATACAGAAAGGTGGTTATTTTTTTCAGCCAGATTAGTTCCTTAAACTGCTCTGTACCACAGTTTCCCTAACGTGTACGAGCACAAGAGCGAGTGCACATCGAGAGCAAGTACCAAGCATGGAGGTGACAGTAACTGCATCAGCATCAGTGCCAAAAGCTACGTGCATCAAACTCTGCCCCAGCCTAGCTCCGAATTCTGGGTCTTTTGCAAAATTTTTACATTCCAGATCAGAAGTTAAATATCCACCAAAAGATCCTGCTGCAAAATTTGGGACCACCTTTCTCTAGACTATGTGAAATCCCAAGTTTATCATAATATCCAGAAATTTGCTAAAATATTTTTAATTCCCTGATGAAAACTGGTAAAAAGGATGATGAATATTATATGCATTCTCTACTAATATTTCTTAAAGATTAGAGTAGTTTGCCAAGAACAGATTATTTAGGCACCTTCTATTATATAATTATTTTTTTAATTGCTCCATGTAAGATCTAACACTTTTTTTTTCCTCCCCCATTTCAGGACCGTGAAGCAAATGATAATGAGGAAAGTAAGTATCCTGTTCTGAAGACATGGTGATAGGAGAGGGATTTGTTATAGTGAGTGAGATGGGTGACCTTAATACCGCACGCAGGGGAGTGTGTCGGTGGTTTTGATCCTTATCTGTCAGCAATGAGGGAGGCTACTCAACTGTTTTCTAGATTAACCAGCATGAGAATATGTCAAGAGGAACTTAAACCAATGGATACATTTTTGTGCTTTTATTACTTTAACGCTGAAATGGCTCTGCCATTGCAGCACGGGCTTTTAGCAAACATGCTATTTAGATATTGCTAATATTATATACTAAATATATTGTATAAATCTCTAGGTCATGGCTTCAATAGCACTCAGGAGTCCAGATTCCCCACCGGAGCAGCTCCTTCTCCATTACCCAGGGTCATGTGAGTAAAGAAAATACAAGCCCTACCTGGGGAGGGATGGGGTGAAATGCACTAGGAGCAGAATCCTATCCTTGCCTGTGGCGACCAGAATTGAGGAGAAACTTCTGCTTTTCATGACACACATCCCAACTGGGTAAAAACAAGCTGCGATCACTGCTGCTGTGCCATCCATGGCTATTCCTGCAGGAATACTGCTTGTATGGCGGAGCCATGGCCCCTCACTGCCTGCCCTGGGGGCAGATGCTCCCTGGTTTAATTTAGTGATTTACTGCTGCCATGGCCGTGCGTGCTGAGAGCTGCAGATAGCTGGGGTGGCTTCTCTTGCTTGAAACCTTTCCCTTCCACCAAAGTTGCCTTCTTAGGCTTTGGACAGAGCTTTATTTTACTATTGCTACCAGTCTCCATTAAAAGAACTCCATGTCCCCTTTGCCAAAAGCATCTTATGAGCCTGGTGCTTAGGTGCTAAAAGAATTACATGCTTCTGTTAAGTAACCATAGCCTATTTCTTTCCAATTTGCAGAAAGAAAACTTCAAATGCAGTAAGTCCAGCAGTAAGTTGATTTATAATTGCATAATTATGTGGTAATTTTACATGTAATTTTTCATTTTCTTGCAAGACTCAACTTGATCGTAAATATGGGTACAACATAAAGGCATGAAGAGAATAGGGAGAAAAGTGAAATCACAAAATATAAACTTATTACAGGCATTTGTGTGTCATTATATGAATGAAGCAGCAGTAGGAAAGCTCAGGTAGAAGGATGTATAGATTAAATAGATGTTTGGATATGATACTCCAGGATATAACAATGAATGGACAATACAAAGACTGACTAAAAGGGAGCACGGGCCAGTCAGAGGTATCAGCTGAAATCACCAGGGTCTGCCTATAGAGACTATGGATATATTAGGAGAATGACAGCTCAAAGGAGATGCAGGCTTTTACCAGAACTAGTTGCAAGTTTTTTCAATAATTTTTTCAAATGATGCAATATATCTCTAAAACCTCATGTAAGGGGGGGATTTTTTTTTTTTAAGTTCTGAAACTGGTAATTTATTTTAATTGTTTCAAAATGAAAATAAATGAAACTGAAAGGCTGGGACAGTTTCCTCTGTCAGCTAAACTGAATTTCCCCTTCAGTGAAGTGCTGAGACACCTAGCGGGCTGAGCTTGACCAAGAGGAGAATATTGCAGTTTTGACTGCAAAGTATTTAGGATGAACTTTTCATCTTGTGGACGTCTCAAACCAGAATGAATCATTTGTGAAAACATAAACTTCTCCTGGGGAGATTCCATTCATTTTACTAAACATTTGTCACAAGCTTTTACTTTTGTCCAACTCATGAACGCACACAAACTGGGATTCCTTCCAAAGCTGTTTTGCAAACTCCAGAGCTGTGTGATCATGCAACTAGAGGATAGTCCCAGAGTGGCTGTGTCTGTCTCCTAATGCCTCTGAGCTGCTCTCAATTCTAAATATAAACTGTTTAACCAACTGTTCAAATTATATGCCATTTAATATTTTATTTTCTTTTATTGCAGAAACCAGCTTTACCATCCAGAGAGGCCTTCGCTGTAAATGAAGGTAAATTATGTCCGCTACTGCGGGGAAAGTTGACATTCATGAGAATTTCATTTCCAGTTATTAAAAACATGAAACGAACCACATCACATTCAATTGATTCTCGGTTGTTGGAGGGTTTTTGGTTTCAGCAGCACAGAACTGGCCCTGGGCAGCCCGTGGCTCATTGTTCCCCAGCAGCAGTGAACCCAGCGCGGTTCCTGGCAGGGTATCCAGCTGTATCCAGCAGCATCGTGCCGCAAAGCGGGAAGGAGGAAGGGAGGGAAAGCGCCGGAGCATCGTCTCCCCTTGGATTCCTGATGGCGTTTGGGGCACGGCCGCTTGCCTGCAGGCTTAGTGGCTGCCACCAGGCAATAAGGAAAACAGCGGGATGGCACCCTGCCACATTTAATAAAAATCCCTAAAGTACCGGGCATCTCACACCGGGGACAATGTTTTTCCAAAGAAATCTTGACTCTGCAATTTGTTTCCCCCAAATTGCAGAGAAACCTACAGCAGCAGAGCGACGGCGAGCTTCCAGCCAGGAGCTTCCTCCTCCGCCCTTCCCAAGCGGCACCCCAAAGTAAATCCCTTTTCCTCCTCTTTCGAGTGGCTCTGCCTACCAGCCCCTACTGCTTGGTCTGCACCCAGCCGGGGGAGGCTCAGGGGGGCACTGGTTTCTGTAGCCTGCTCTTGGTGGGGACATGTTTTTGTTTTTTAAGGCACATTTCCTGAAGCCTCACAGGAGCAGTAAATTAAAAAAATGTGTCCAAATACTGTAACCATCACCAACAAGAATGGATGGGTATGTCCTCTAAATAGTTGATGGATAATATTTAAGCCAGATGTTTAAATTACTAATTGCCAGTATTAGTGGGAACTGGTTTTTATTTAATTATCTTTTAAATAGCTGTATCTATTCCTTATCTCTCGGTGGGCCAATGGGTGAGCTGGGCATGTCCCTTGCATATCTCCAAATACTCAATTCTTGTGTTCTCAGAACTAGAGAGATCTCCCCAGACTTTTCTGTAATCTTTTTATCTATTTCAGATCTTTGCCCCCAAAGCCTTCATCTCTGCCAAGTAAGTATAATTTGGATTTTGAATTAAGATGCGATTTAATATGTAAGTTCAAATTGATCTTTGAATTAAGATCATTTTCAGCTGCCTTGCCTATTCATTAGAAGCTAATATTTTTATATATATGCATATATATATTGCAGTCAGTCATGGTATGTTTATAATGGCAAATGGTAAGGCTCTTCTGTAAATAATACTTTCAAAGAGACATTTAAAAGTTTCAGTTCACAGTTCAAAACAAATTAAGTAATTTGTATATGAACTCACTTCCACAGAGAAGTGTAAATTAGATCTCCTATTTATCTAGTCTCTGTTTAGCGGACAGACATTTGACCTTCCTATCAGTTCTTTCCCGCGTGTGTTTGTGTCTGAATTTATCTTTTTTAATGTACCAGGATGATGAGAACTGCACGTAGTTTGAATGTGGCCTAGCTTATACTTTGTACCCTGTCATTGCTACTTCCCCAGAGTTCCTGCAAATATTTGCTTGATGTGTGTTGCAGTTACAGCTCCTTTTGCACTGTAGAATCCTGGTCCCTGCTCTTGTGATGGGCTGATGCTCCTAAGTTTGTCTGCTCCCATCACATACAACTGAATTTTGTGCTCTATCTATTACTTTTCTCTTTGAGGTCATCTAGTACTAACCAATACTCTGATAAGCTGATTTCATTAACCCACCATCATTTTATGTCTGGTTCCTAGCAACTTTATCACAGATGCAACTGGTCCCAATCCGCAAAGTGTTTTCAGCAGAATCTGCTGGCTCTTCCTTATTACCACACAAGTCTTGCACTAACATTTATTTTCTTCCTTAAAATCACTAATTTCCCATATGGCGCATTATCAAATGTTCTATCAAAGTCCACAGTGAGTACAATATTTCCTTTTCACAGAAATTGGGTGTTTTTACAAAAGAGTGATTAGAATTAGTCCGATTTGATCTATTTAGGCAAATGTCAGTCTTTATCCTGCTGCTTTTCTCTCCACATGTTAAAATATTCTTTCTTTCAAATTCTTTTCTAGGGCCTTGTGTTCTGTTGATTCATACAAAAAGGCCTGTAGCTGTTCAGGTCACTTTTTCCATTTTGTTAAATATAGCTATTATGTTTGGTATTCTTCAGCCTGACTTGAAATTTATTTACAATAATTGCTACCATCCCAGTAATTTCTTGTGCCAGTTTTTCAGATTTTTGGAATAAAGATTAGCTGGGCCTGCCAGTTCAAGTGCACTAAACTTCCACAGTTTTGCTTCCAACTTGGTTGTGGAAATTTCCATTCCTGCACCAGAACTCCTATTAATTTAGTACCTAGATTATCTTTAAACTCATTGCAACTCTTACTGCAGACAGTCCCATTTTCTCCTTTCATTTTTGCATGGCTAAGGAGCCTCTTATTCATTTTCTCTGTAAAGTCAAACTCAGTTTGACTTCTGCCAGTTCTTAATACATACAATGGAATTGTCAGCTACAGTTTTTGCAGCCAGTTAGGCAAAATCTCTCAGGAAAACAATTCTTAGCAGCCACCTCCAAATGATTATTCATTCACCAAGAGCTGGAACTGCTCCTAACAACTCTCATCCTATATAACTACTTGGAATATACTTCTTCCAGATAACTACTCCAGTAGTTATCTACTCCTAAACTAGAAAATCTGCTCCACACAGAAGCCTCTGAGCTCCTCTGAATCATTATGTAATGGCTGTAATACTCTTGTTGCTTTCAGAAACCAAATTATAAATCAGAGATGTATTAGTGACTTTTTTAGTAAAGCAGTCTGCAAAGAATCCTATCCAGGAATAGGTGAGCACTAACAATACTAATAGCATTTTTTTTCCAATAAGTAAAACATAGGAAATACAGCCTTCCATCTTGATAATTCCAACACTCAGCTTTTTATAGAAATCTGCTCTTTAATAGTAGAGATTTCTCTACCTGAAAGCCTCATGGCTTTCAGCCATGATAGCTATATTCTACGATGCTTTGTTTTCACAATATTGCATGTTTTCTCCTGTGTTCTGTTCTTTTCATACTTCATAGTCTCTCCTACTAGTGCTGCTTCTCTGTTTTGCTGTCTAGGTTTCTTGTATACGTGTACAAGCAATTCATTTGGATAAAATAAGTGATTGGTTTACATGACTTCCTTGCCTATATGGCTACCTCTCATATTAGAGTGCTTTTCATGTTGTCTTCTTGAGTTTTCTTTACTCATAGCTATATTCTGATTTGCTTGGGATTGTTTTTATCCTTGCGTACTAAATATAGCTTTGGAAATAACTTGGTTAATAGCTTAACTATTTCTTTATATATAAGGATCTTCTTGTGAGCAGACAAGGCACTCGCATAGGGTCCATGCAAGTAGAGCTCTCGAATGATTCCACAGATAAAATGTGCCCAGATCTTTCAAAATGATCACAGCAAAACTTAATGTACTTTTAAAACTTACATGTTGTTTTCTCTTCTTTTCTAGAAGTGCCAGAAGCTGCAAACCGTTCTCTGGGTGCTTCCCCTCGCCACAGTTGTTCATCAGTTTCAAGTACTGCAGACCAGGTATAACATTAGCTAAAGGCAATTCAAGATAAAGTGTTCTAATCCTTTAGTTTACTTAAAATAGTATTTCCCCTCCTAAGGCAGACTCCTTTGCTGAGGCCACACACATTCCATTTTCCCTTTATATAAAGACTTTGGCCCCTTCTGCAGCGGAAACTTTATTTATGGCACAAATAATCTAAAAGTCTGCTTTCATCCAAAATGTTTTAGCACATATAGGAGAGTTTCAATAAACTGCAGAGAAAAAAAAAAAAAGCTCATTTTAAACAAAAACTGAAAAAGCTTCTCAGTTTAGTTTTTCAGATCTTTCCAAATTCCTAGCTCATGGTACTCGGCCATCATTTGGTACAAGGAACTTGTAGTTTAGTAAATTTAGTCTTGCCCTTGAGACTGCTTTTAATTGCTGCCTTTTTTTCTATTTATAGCTATACTTTTTTGTCTGCTAGGGTCCTGAAAAACAAATTGTACCAAGCAGATACAGTGAAACCATCTACAGCTCTAGCATTAGCTTGTGCTGATGAGATGTGCTAAGAAATTCCAGCAGCTTTTTGAAGGAAAAGGAGGCAGCTCCTCTGTGTATCCCAACCTGGCAGAATGCAATTGCAAACACTGCCCTTTTAGTGTTGTTTGGGGTGTCAGCAAAGCTGAGAAGGGGGAGCCACTGCTGATCTTCCTTCTCTGGGGAGTCTGTGATGCTTCCCCTTCACTGGTCTATTCCTTTCTGCTCCCTTAAATGGACTTCTTCCCATTGCAGCTAACACTAAGGTAGTTTTATGAACATTTCCTATGTTTTGTTCCATAAGCATTAAGATTATTCATCTAAGCATTATGTAAAGCTATTTTCATTTCTATACTGTATTCTTTATTCCTCTTTTGGACAAAGGGAGACCACAAGACACAGGAAGCCGTCCTTATTAGCCTGGTAGTCACAAATATGGTAAAAATAGTTCTGTTGAGTGCAACACAAAAGCTCTGTTCTGCAGAGCCAGTGACACCCCGTGTCCAAAAGGCTGCCATGGCCAAGATAATACACCAGCGAGGAACACAAAGGCCTAGCAGTTCTGGAACAACTTTAACAGTATGTCACACTGGATATTATAAAAATTGCTTTCAAATAAACAATCTGGTAGACACAAAAATAAACGGCCCATAACAATTATATTTACGGCTTTTATGCAACACCCATAGGCAACCCCAGAGCCTTAAAACATCCATTTTGTTAGAAATGAAAAATAGCTGTTGAAGTTGGCACCATTTCCCACCAGTTATAAGGGTGCAGCAGTACTGCCATTTGCTGCACTACTCCAGTGCTCCCAGGCTCTTACCTGCTGGCTGCCCTGCAGCAGCAATCTGCGCCTCGCGTTTACCTCAGCGATGGGGCCAGGCAGCAGGAAGGTTCAGGGCAGCTCATTCCTTCCTGCTAGCTGGACAAAGGCAGGTTCACCACACACATTCCCATAGTAGCAGAGCACCTCGTGTACTCGCAATTCATCTCATCCTGTTCCAAGGAGAGAGATGCTGAAGGACTTGGGGGGTAAAGTTATGTGATGCGGCTTGAGCCAGTGCGAGAGTTTCAGGCCCACAAAGCTCTGCGCTCTCCTTGCTGCCTCCCGCTCCCAGCCATGTGCTTCCATCTGGCCGTCTGAGCAGGTGATGAGCAGAGCCTGCTCGTTAAGCTCGTAAACCCACCTGGCAGGCAAACATGAAGGGGGAGGGGGAAAAGGTAGCATGGTTTTCCATGATTACCTGAGCAAACTGTTTCATTTTGGGGTTATAGAGTCTAGTTTCTTGTTTCTGACTTTTCTTTATAGTCTTATGGCAGATCTTTTCTCCTCTACCTTTCTAATCTCACCCTCTGCACCCTACCCCTAAACTCTACTTTTGTACCCAAACATACACCCAAAAAAATCATCATCTTCCCCAGTTTTCTACTGTATCCTATTATATCCAACTCATAATCTTATCGCATTTACTTTCCCTTCTCTTCATCTTTATGCTTATCATGCTCCCAGACCTGTTATCTTCTAATGTAGAATCCGCCTATCTTTGAGCCACCAATCTTCCTGCTTTGAATCTTTACCCAGCCTCATGTCCCTATGATGAAGATCTTTGCCCAGTGCTCTTTCCTGGAAGAACAGGTTCTGGAAAGGTCTAGCCGCTGTAGACCTTGCCAAGCATCAGTGAACAGATCAGGGTAATCTTGGTGAGGTGTTGACAGGGGAGCACAGAAAGGAGATACCCTGGAGGTATGTTATAAAATTTTATATCAGTCCCTCTGCATTCTGTTACAGATGTGATCTTTGTCCCAAGATAAACATGAGGTATTGCACATCCATCACCTCTGTTTTGACACACTAGGTTTTTTCTGTACTGCCTCTATCAATGGAAACCATGAGGTCATGGCAAACACCTCTCTGAATTCTGTTTCTTAAAGTGTTTTGCCTCCTTCAGTCATCATTATCTAGTTGTAAATCTGCTATAGGCCAAGTTATTTTATTATTACTCTTACTATTATTTTATTTTACAAGCACTGTTTCATAGCACTATCGAATGATGTCAAGTAACTCTTTCTCTCGCTAGGATGCTGGTGTTCTCAGTAAAGCATGGTATGCTGCTACCTGTGACCGAAAAACAGCAGAGGATGCATTGTACCGGTCAAATAAGGTATTCGGACTTGCCAACTTCTATTTTTCTTGACAACTGGATATATTCTAAGAATATGAGTTGTATGTTGAACAGGTCAGAGTACTACCTCATGCAGATACTGTTAAGCAAGAAATTACTGTGGTGAAACTCTTTTATCTTCTATCCTTTCCATCAACTACCAGTGTCCAATGTTTGAAACTGTTGGGGGAAAAATACTAAATAGATATTTCTTTTCCTTTTTTTTAGGATGGATCTTTCTTAATAAGGAAGAGTTCTGGACAGGACTCAAGACAACCATACACGCTGGTTGTGTTTTACAACAGAAGGGTGTACAACATCCCGGTACGATTCATTGAATCTACACGGCAGTATGCACTGGGCAGAGAGAAAACTGGTGAAGAGGTGAGAGGTGGCAGGGAGGTTGGTGTGGGTAGGTTTGTTTGTTATTTTTTTTCTCTCCACATTTACTCTTTTAATTATGTTGCCCTATAAGCAAAATTGCACTATGACCAGATGGATTCCTTATGCCTCAAGATAAAAATATGCCCTATATAGTAAAAGATTTACTAGGCTAATTAGACCAGCCAGTTCAATATTACCTACTGCTCATTGTAACTAATTAAAACCATAGATCTAGTTTAAAAATATACTCATATAACCATTTTGAGCAGTTATGAGGATCAGAAGTACATTAGTTATAAATTCTCCAGCCATTTCCAGTCTGTTGATGTGCTTACCTAGCTTCTAATTAATCTTCTTGGAAGGCTGCAAAGGCAGAACAGCTTTACACCAGTAACTTCCCAGAATAAAAAGTCATCACTGCTCCTTCCTTCAAACCTCCATCAATGAATACTTTTAATCCTATTTCCACATAAAGAAAATGTTAAACTCCACTTCCAGAGTATAAAAATTACTGCTTGGCTATTATATCACACAGATCATTATTCTGACAGCTGCCCAGAGATTTGGAGCTGAAATACCAATAAAAATTGGGTTTTATCATTGCACAGAGTAGTTTTTTCGAGGAAGTTAGAGGCTTCCCTGAGTCTAATTATCAGCCTCCTAGATAGTGTTTTGAGAATGCAGAACAAATAATAGGCTGGAGCTCATCTGGCCCTCAACAAAGCCTCAGGGGGAAAAAAAAGTGAGAGATACATGGGGAAAAAAAGTGACATATATATATATATTTATATATGTGTGTGTGTGTGTGTATATATATATATATATATTTGGCTGAAGACCAAAAGGTAAAGCACCAGAGCTTGCAGATTCAGAGCATTAATTCACAGCGACAAAAGGATTAAAAGCGCATAGCTGAAACAATTATCACTGCTAGCTGTCTGCACCAGGTTACTGCCAGACATCACTAGCCCTTTATCAGGCGGCTGAACCACAAATGAAGCCACAGTTTGCAGCTTGGTGTATTAGGGTAAGCTGAAAGAGGTGGCGGTTTAACATGCCAGGTTGCAACTTGTATGGTTCAGTTTGTGCATGCACCAACAACAAATGGAAAGGAGCGTGAGGTGAGACAGCTAGTGGCAATAATCTCTTCCACCGTCCAAACTTAACTGTGATTAAAATCAGGACTAAGTACAGGACTGGTGCTTTTACCAAGGTAGAGCATCTCACATGATAATGAAAGTCTGAAGTCCACCATCTTCAGCAGTGGCAGAACCAGAGGGAAAAGGTAATACAGTAATTACTGTCAGAGCATTAAAGGAAACTAACCCTACTAATTAATTTTTCTCTATCCAGCGCTTTGACAGTGTTGCTGAAATAGTAGAGAATCATCAGCGCACCTCCCTTGTCCTAATCGACAGCCAAAACAACACCAAAGACTCAACGAAACTGAAACATATTGTGAGAGTTTCATAGCTGAAATGCCATGGCCAAGCTTTTCTTAATCACTTTCCCAAATTTGTGGATCAGGTATTAAAGAAGATCATCCAAAATGACAGAGAATATTCTTTAACAACACCCACTAAGTAGCAAGAGATGCAGCTCATTAAGTTCAACCCCATGTCATCTTATCAGAAAAGCATTGCATTCAAGAAGCCACAGCAGGTTGTCTTATCTGCAGTTTGCATCTGAGAAGGGTTTTCAATGTTGCATCAACAGCTTCGTTACCGGAGCTCGGTTCCTCGACTGCTCTTTGAAGGCAGAGTTCCTGGAGGACATCTTCACTTTAGAACTGAGAATGCTTACGGTGACCTTCTACTTATTACCTTTACCACAGATCACAGCTTTCAGAAACCTCCTTGCAAAGTGCACAGCTCCAGGAGTTAGAGCAACTCAACCTGAGATACTACTGTGTACACGCTGAAACTAGCACTGTACTTCATGTGATTAAGGGAAAAGCTACCTGAACTTTTAAGATTAATGAACACACCTTGTCCTCTTCCTCAGCTTTACTTTCAGTGCTTCGTTAATAATATGTATGTGTTTATGGGTTTTTTGTATTTTCAATGTGAAAATAAATAAAAATGTTATGAAGTCAGTAATGTATGGAAGTACTGTAGGCTGACACTTCTTAGCATCTTTCCACAAAAAAAAAATGGTCAAGTCACTGTCTCCAATTTATCTGTAATGTTCATGTTTGTACAGGCTTGATCTCAAGCCTGTACAAAATTTTGTTATTATGAAATGTTTCTTTTAACATCTCTAGCATACAGGTTTGCCTTAAGAGCTATTAAGATCTGTTACCTTCTCTTCACCTTACTACTATTGAATGCCCAGGCCCGTTGCTTCCTTGCTAACCTACCTCAATCAATTCTTGCAGAATTACTTTTAACAGACAAAAAAAGCTGTAAGCCTGTTTTATCAAACTAGTTTACTTACTGTTCTATTACCGTGATCAAACTGTCATTTCCGGAAAGAATAAAGATTTAAAGAATGGGGCACATGGTGAAAACTAAACTGATGCTGTAGAAAGTTTAAATGGAGGGAACCATGGCTGGTAAAAGGTAAACAGTACAAAAATGAGAATTTTAGATTTATGCTTTACTGTCTTCTGAGAGCAAGTGCACCAATGAAAAATTGCTGAGGAAATGTTAATTAGGTCCTACTTAACCTAATACTTAGCTCAGAAGGTTTATTATTTCATGGGATGTGAAAACTCCTCAATCAAGACTTCTTCTAAAACTGATACTATATACATACGCTCTGGTCTTGATGTTCTGGCTCGGGCACTGTTCTCCAAGTACTTGTTCCTAGATCTTTAAAGCTGGCAGAAACCTACAGCTGTAGTCTCCAACTACTTCCACCTTGTGATTTTGAGCAATTACTTCTAAAAATAATGCAACTCTCAAACACTACATTGCTCACAGCTCGCCTACAACTACCATGATATGCTCCAGATAAAAATTCATCTTTCCCTTTTAGCAGTTTTCTGCCCTATTACATGGTGTCTTAAAATTTCATCAACAAAAGGAGGCAAGAATTTAATGGGCAATAGCTTTTCTGTCTACCTGATACAGAAATGAGAGTACAATGAGCACTGCCGATTATTCCTGTCACTGTTTTTCCATGAAAGCGGTCAGAACTTCGCAAAAATTCAAGCATTCAGGCGTGCAAGTTGCAAAACTGCATTCTTCCTTTGGCTTAAATCACCAACAGCAGGCAGAGATTTTGAGGAAAGGCTGTAAAAAAAAAAAAAAAAAAAAAAGTTAGATGACAACAGCCCTGGAACAAATGTTAAACACAAGTTTTTTGTTAAAATGTTGGAATTCTTGAAGTAGAAAAAAAAAGTTACTGATGATATAAAGAATACACAATGGGCTAGATTTTAGGCCTCCTTTAAGGTCACTTTATACAATCAGAAACACTGTACAGATAAGGACTAGGCCGCATCTATGTTTACACGTTCTTCTCAGAGGAAAAACATTTGTTGACCCTGATCTTATAGCTATTTCTGTATAGCCGTAAGCACAAAAGTTTTATCTTGCCATCTGCACAATATTACAAGCGATCTTAAAATGACACATTTGAAAAGTCAAAGTCAAAAAACAAGGAGTTTTCAAATTAAGAAACCTCTCCAACCTGCTCATAGAAGAGACATCTATTACAAGTATTAAACATATGATCATTTACTATTTCCATATAGATTTATATATCTCATTTAGTTGAGAAGTGGTATGTAAGGGCTAAATCATAGTTGTGTAAAGACCGATTTTTTTTTTGTATTTGCCCCTTTACTGAAGAAACCAAGAGTGTTAAGAAACGTTGCAGGAATCTGCCTGTAAAAAGGACAGTTAAGGCAGCTGAATGTTTCATTCGATAACTCAGTATTGCCCCTGCATCATTTACACATCCACTGTGATGCTGCTAGTTTGTTAATCCTATACTTTCTACTGAGGGTCTGTAACTGAGATCTTTCTTTACAATTTAATTTAATGGAAGTCTGACCTGGGTTTCCTTAGAATCTAATCTACAGCAGTGCCAGACTCTCAAGACTTTAAATGAAGTATTAAGCAAAAGCTCATACTAAAGAAGTCTATATTCAGAACAATACTCGAGCAATGTGCATTAAGTAATGCAGAGGCATAGCGAAGAGTAGGGAAACAAAATGTTAAATCACTGCTCATCAGCGAGGAACAGCTCTGTACTGAATGAGAAATGTCCATGGGCAGTCACACATGACAGTGAATTAAGACCATATAAAGCAACCTTGTTTCAAGATTTCCTGATTTTACAGTGTTCTTCTGCTCAGTACTGCATACAGTTCCCAAATTCATAGGAAAACAAACTGATGGGAAAAGAAAAATGAAATGATAGTATGTTGACACCTCATGATTTATCAAGATACTTGCCCATCATCTGCCAGCAGAGGCTCAATACAGCTCCTGGATTCATTAAGAAGGTGGAGAACAAAAACTCTGTCAGCACCACGGGGCAGGCAGGGCCCTGTGTTCACATACCCCCATATGGACAGTGAGCAACCCGAGGTGCTCTCTCCCTTGCTGATCATGCTTGCAGGAACAAACAGCAGGCATGCAGGCTCTGGCAAATACTGCCCTCCTGGCCATTAAAATGAGAGGAATAATTGAAGCTTTGCCAAAAACACTAAAAAGCAGAGCATCTGAGTCTGCACCAGTACAAAATACTGTGTAGTCATTATGGGGCCACATTACTTTGACCTGGAAAACCATTACTGTCCAGCCACAGGCCTGACGTGCTGCTTCGCCCTTCATTATGTGCTGCCTCCCTCAAAGGGTTTGTGTCAGACACTGTATAAAACACAAATATTTTCTATAAAAGCTCATAGTCATATTCTGTAAACACAAGTTATATCAAATTTAATAGTGAAAGAGTCAATACAGATTAGGAATGTTCGCCCTTCTTAAACACCATATACATTATGAATATATATACTGTATATTTTCAACTGATTCCATTCTCAGGCTCGCTGTATTAAACACAATCGTAACATATTTTATTAACTTATATGAAAAATACTTCACTAAGAAAGTAGACAAACTGCACAGAAATAGTACAAGTGTCATGTGCATAGCAATATAGCTTAAAGCATTCACATATGGCTTTGTTTAAATGAAACTATTGGGGAAATGGTCCTATTTGGACCTATGGTTACACAGTTGACAATGTAAACTGCTTCACATCTTTTAGGCACTTGCTAACAATAGTGTTCAATCCCTGAAAAACAAAATCAAGACCTAACAAGTGGAAAAAAACTCCCAGGATAACAACTGTGTGTAGTCAAAAAAAAAGATAAAAATTTGTTTTAGTAGTGCATGCACAGAAATGAAAAATAAGGGAGGGCAGGGGGAATAATTTCTGTGCAAAAATTATATCAAATTACTGCAAAGTATAAAAATATTTACATGCTTATGTTTCTTAAATATGTACAGAACAAAAGCCCTGAAGACTCCTTTTATAGAATAAAAATATAGGACATGATAGTAGTAACAAAAAATATATATTTTTTTTTAAGGAATTGTATTTTCAATTAGTTACAAGTTCTCTAAACCACAAAGTTCCTTGATGTATCACAAAGCCTGATGCCAGCAGAGAATCCGTTCTTCCTTTTAAAATACATCCATTTTGCATTCTATTTAAATTTCAGTTACAATACTGAAACACAAAATGACTTGTGCATCATAATTCCACTAGATTCTCTTTCTCAAAGGTGAACTGCAGGGTATTTAACATTTTTATTCTTCACTGGTCATCATTGCACTAATAAATTCCAATCTCGAGTAGCCTCCATCAGATGCCTCTGTCCATGTCCTACCCAATTATCCTGATTGTCAAATATTCTACCACAAAACCAGCAGCTAAACTTAGCTTTCAAGGTGTTATCAGAGGTAGTTTTCACAATCTGGTAATTGTTTTTGCTAGTTTTTTTCAGTGTCAATTTTAATACAAATCTTTCTTTGACGGGGCTGATAGGTTTTATTGTCCTATGCCTCTTTTGAGAAAGATCCTCAGTAGTTCGGTCCAAACGATTACAGAAAGCCGGCTCCAGAAGAGCTTCAATAGTTCTTTTTGACAACGAAACCTTAAGAACGTGTCCCTTAAATTTAGCAATGGTTTTCATTACGTTTACTACTTCTGGAACATCAGCATCGGGATGGTTAAGCACAACAACTGGTTGATTCCTCCGGGGACATTTCACAAGCTGCTTGGAATTAAAAGGAAGTAGTTTCAAAGTCCTCACAGTATCTTTTGATGCCCTTGGTTTGTAAGGGCCACCTGATTCACTAACAACTCCAGTTTGATTCTTTTCCTTGCACTTCCTGTGTAACATCACCTTCTTTCTTGGAGGTTCTGAGTAATTCTCCTTTCTTTTTCTTTTGAAGTTCTTGGTTCTCTGCAAAACCACAGTTTCTGAACTTTTGGGCCCCGTTTGTTTTAAACGAGGTTTTACTTTTGCAATTCTGTTTCTGGTGCTCCACGTGGACTTGTGGCTACCACAGCTGCTCCTGTTGCTCGCTGGTGCTACCTGCGTGCTCTCGGCAGAACCTTTTTGCAACCGCGTCCCCGCAGGTTTGGCAGAACATACTGGCTCTACAGGACGAATACAACAGGTTGGACTTGGGCTTGCCACAGAGGCATTTGCTGGCATTAACCTACCTGGTAATATTAAGGCATCACTAGAATTAAGATTAGCTTGTGTCTTTGCTAGTGCAGGAGTAAGGGACTGCAAGTTGTCCACGTGCAGCGGGGGCACTGAGCTGCCTGCTGGCCGATCTGCATCAGCCAGTGACTCCGAGGAGCAAGTCCTAATTTTCACCAAAAGCTTTTGTTGCCTGGTGCCCGTTTTCTTTGGTTGACAATTTTGATGACAAGCATCATCCTGAAAAACACTATGTTTATGGGCTCCAGGCTTGTTTGGTGTCATACATTTCAGAAAAACGGCCTGCTGTCCATCAGGCAAAAGGGCGTAAACACGGCGTTTCTGTCGAACTTCCTGCTCT